TTTAGAATATTATCGGTTTAAGTATTTTCCTTTTCAGTTTTGGAATCTATGCTTTTTATGTTTTTCCTTTTCATATGATGGCTTAATCTTTGACTAGAGCCTATATATAGCTTTCTATTGTAATGATTTAAAGATAGTTTTTGACATAATTAATAACAACGAGCTTATCGTTCTTTCTTATCTTCTAATTCTCTCGGATTTGAACACAAGAAGCGGTTTCCAAGTAATTCATTACTTGAATTACACGGTTGAGCTAGGTTTTGCATCGATACGCTGCGCCAGGTTGGTATCGGAGCTTTGCTATGTTCCATGAGATGGTTTATGCACTTCGCCCTCGTCGAAATCAGCATGTTGCCGATGGCAACGATATGAGACAATCTATCCAAGATCTTCAAGAACAGATGGCAGCTTTAACGACATCACTTCAAGCTTTGACGATTCCGCATGTCGCAGGTCCGGCGAGGCATGCCGCAGATGAAGGGAACCCTTTCGCGATCAATCATATCCATCTGCGGGTGGAAGATGATCTTGATGTCAAGGATCCAGCATATGCAATCGATAGCTTACTATTTTAGATCATTTTATGATGCATTTCATGCATTGTTTCCTCTGTTTTTGCATTATAGTTTAGCATTTTAGTACCATTTGCACTTAGAATCAACATGGCATGCATTTAGCTTAGGATTGCATACATTTGCATACATGTGCATGTTTGTGGTGGTTTTCAGGTGTTTTTGGAGTTTCTTGGAATTGGAAAGGAGATGGAAGCAGCTCATGAGCAAAGAAGATGTCAGAAATGGAGCTCTTGCAAAGTCTGGTCCATATCAAGCAAGCATATCGAGCAGAACACCCGTGGAGTATGCTCAATGCAAGCAGCAGGACGAGAGGAAGAGGATCAGCACGAGGACTCCAAGCCGTTGGTCTGCATCGAGGACCAGCATCGAGGAAGGAAGCCGATGCGCACTGCACGGACCATATCGAGGTCGCATATCGAGCAGAACATCGTCTATACGACCTTGATGCAACTTATCCGCATTGACCACTTGACTTTTGTTAACCTTATCCCATTTTTAGGTTTTTATGCTTTTTGGCTCCCTACTATAAAAGGAAAGCCACAAAACATTATCTTTATCCAAGTTTAGCTTTCTATCAAAAACTCTCTTCTCTAAACCTTAAAGGGCGATTTGCCTTAAGGATCTTAATCTTTAATAAAGTTTGCATCTTTATGGTTTAATCTTGTCTCTTACTCTTTGTTCTTGCACCTTGGTAGTTTAGATTTATCATATTTGCATTTTAACCTCATCTAGTTATGTTTAACTCCAAATCAATGGGATTAAACATGATTAGTGAGTAGTTTACTTTAGATTTAGAGTTCTAAGTAGGGAAAGTGGTGATTAAGATGTGATTAAGGGGTGATTAGGCTTATTTAACTATTCTTTGTTGTCTCCTTCTCTTGCAAAGTGGTTATTGTTCATAAAGCTTGCTCCTTTCGATTGAATATGGTATTGATTGATGCATATGGTTCACTAAATGGCTTTATCTCATCTCTAAGTATGGTTCGCTTATTTGGCTTGATAGTTTGGCTTGGTCTATGTTTCCTTTGATCAGTGACACCAAAGTGATAGTTCACCATTGCTAGATGATTCGCTTAAGGCTAGATAATGCTGGTTTTGAGATTCTTGCTTGATGGTTAGATAGTATGCATTAAAAGATCTTGCCTTTGTTTCATTCATGTTCATTGCTTAGCATTGTTAGGATGTTGCATCTGTGTGCTTAACCACATATTCTTGATTGGTGTTTAGTAAGCTAGGTCCTTATTAGTTCACAAGATTGATAAATTGATCTGAATTCTTGCTTGGGTGAGAGAATGATTGCTTGATTAGTACATCTCTTAGGCTAGAATGGTTCTGATCTTTATGCTCATGGTTGAAGGATACGCCATCACAAGTCTGACACATCAATCTTGTTGAATATGAATTGCTTATTGATGCCAAGTTGGTTCCCTTTAGATACCTTGTCTAGGAGTACAACATTGAGAATTTATTGGTTTTAAATGCTTGATGTTTGCCTTTGTTAGAAGTCTCCATTTTTACTCTTGAAAACGACTATCCCACAATTTCTTAGAACCTTGAGTCTTGCTTTTATTTAATTGTCTTTAAGATCATCTTGCTTAGTTTTTGCTTTAGTAGTCATTCTTGCTTAATTTTTGTTTAGTCATTGCCTTAAGTTCATTGCTTAGTTTTTTTCACTTGCATTTAGTTTATGTTTTCTTTCCATTGCAATATTAGGTTGTTAGACTTGTCCTTGTTCAATCAAAATCCCATCATTGCTTAGCTTATGGCATTGTTTGCATCTCATCTTCCACAAATGAATTGATACATGATCCTTATTCTACAACTGATTAGAGGCAGGACATTTGATCTAGTGAGACCAAAACCGCTCTTTCACCAATCAAAATCAATAACAACGAGCTTATCGTTCTTTCTTGTCTTCTAGTTCTCTCGGATTTGAACACAAGAAGCGGTTCCCAAGTAATTCATTACTTGAATTACACGGTTGAGCTAGGTTTAGCAGCGCCAGATACTTATTCCTATTAACTGTGCAAATACAAATCAATCACCCATAAGAGATATTTACAGCGATAACAAACTGAAGCAACAAGAAAAATATACATAGAAGACAGCCGAAACTGATAATCAAACCAGATACACTCTAAGTTCATAAACAGGAAACATACCCCACTTTCATGCCTTCTTCAATATCAGTAGGAAAAACTTTATCGCCAATTAGGAATCAAAATAAAATTAGTTATAACCACAAATCTAAAGGCTACACACAATCGTTTATGCAGAAACAAACATCAGCTTTGGAATTCAATGTACCTTCGCTATCTGTTTGACATTAATGACGTAGCTGGCATCTTCGGTGCTTGGACTAATTATCTTTGTGCATCTAGCAACCTGGACAGTAAAAGACGCTTACACCTTAGTAGTAATCCCTTATAAGTTACCCGTAAAGGAAAAAGAACAAGAAATTTAAGAGAAGTTTACCAACGGAGGTTGCTCCTCTTTCATCATCTGTTTATCGAACACGAGACCCATTTACTGGGAGGAGCTATACCTGCAATGGAAGTGAGGAAGCTCATAAAGTCAAGGTTTTCCATAAAAGCAACACAAAAACTTCAGCAAAACTAAGAGTGCGAACATACCACAGAGATCGTTGATGCCAACATACTCTTATTTCCGATCAATCAGCAAAGAAGCTTCTTGATTCATAAGAAGATATCAATCAGAAATAAGAGTAGAAAAAAAATCGATAGTGTAACCTAAGAGATATAGATTTTGATGCTCAATCGATGAAGAAATTTGAGGAAGATAGATTGAATTTTGGAGAAAATCAATAGATTTGGATGATCTCTAGTTCCAATAGGTGTTTTTCTCCGTGGACCCGCAAATCCATAGCGGGCTGGCCCGCTCAGCTCGATATTCGCAAGGATTGGCCCGCTCGTTTTTATTTTAAATATACATAGATTATCATTTAATACTAATTGAATATATCATTAGCTAATTAATTATTTATTAATCATTTAATTATAAAAATTCATTGCAAGATAAATACGGCACATATTATTAATTACCAACTAAATATTTATAACAATTATTTTAATTAAACTATACTAATTCTATTAAATCATAATTGATTGATTTATTGATTGAGAGATTGAGAGATTTTTTTATTATTATACATAATCAATAAAAAATCTCTAATAATCTTAAAAGAATATAAATACTTATTATTTTCAAAATTAAAAATGAAGTAGTGTGGGTTTAATCTTAGGACATTAAAGTCACCACAATCACACACAATCCATAAAAATTATTTAATTATTATTCTTCATGCTCAAAATTGATTAGTAAGATAAGTTAAAATCAGAAATTATATTGTTTACTATTTCAATAAAAACGATTAGGTTACATATAGAATCTAAAATGCAGAATATATCATTTCATTTTTATTCCTAATATACATGAATTATAATTTACTACTAATTGAATCTATCATTAGCTAATTAGTGATATATTAATAATCTAATTATAAGGATTCATTGCAACACAAATATTATTTTTAGTTTTGATAAACATTTTTATTATTTTTTCTTAGATTGTTTTTCATAGAGTTCTAATTTATAAGAGTGTTCTCGAATTTTATTTGATTTTAAAATTCTTTAAGTACAATCATTCAGATTAATATATTTATATATAATTACAAAACATAATTTTATGATTATTTACATATATCCAAATTATTACTAATACATATTGTATTTTATAAGTAGATAAACTTCCGATCAACGCCCATTCATAATATTTAAATGGTATTAAAGAGCAATGTATGCTTTTATACGCAGATTTATTAATTAAAATGCTTTTATAATTTGGAAAATATTTTTTTTTGGAGTTAAAAACTGTTTTTTGTAGCAAGGCTAATTATTTACATTAGTTTATGGTAATAGTTGTTGCTTTCCTAATTTTGTTATGTTATATATATTTTTTTGTTTTCAGTTATTATTATCGTATATATTTTTAAATATTTCTGATTTAAAATTTATCTATCCATTTTTTGTTATAAGATTCTGAATTTATTACAAATTAAACACATGATAATTTTTTAAATTTATTCAGTTATTTAAATATTTTAACCAATATTATTTAATTATTATCTAATGATCCAAACCCCAATAAATTTATACATAAATATAGCATATGCAAAGCTTTGGGCATTATTGAAAACACTGAATCATGTCGTTAGTCATGGGATATAGAAAATCTATATAACGACTTCGTATTTTTACCCAACCAAATTTTGAACCATGTACATGATATTTAATTTTTAAATTAATTTATATGATAATTAAATATGTTATTACATATTGTTATATGAAATTCATATAAAATTAATTATATTATATTGTATAATCTTAAAATTAATAATTATTTCACTCCGGAGATGATCTGGTTATTACCTAGTATATCATAAAAGAGATGAAGTCAACCAATATAGATTAACGTTTAAAGACTAATTGATCTCTCGGATTGTACCATAGCATTGAGAATTCAGCTACGCCAATTTTAATTTTTGATCTAGTAAGTAGTAAATGAGCCTTTGTTTTTGTTCAACCAAATGAATTTTCATCTAAATCAAAAGATGGTGGATGAAAAGAAAATGGATGAGGAGGAAGAGTTCTTATCCAACCATCTTTATCTAAAAAAGTCTTTGGATTTGTAAAGTAAGAAACATCTCGAGTCGACAGATTCTTCTCCCAAGTCACTCTTTTTTCCTTTTTTGCCCCTGGCCCGCTGCAATTTACCTCCGCATACGTAAATTTATCTCTGATTTTTAAATTCGCAACATATATGGTCAACATACAAATACATTAGTGTTTGCAATAATTTAAAGAAAAATGTAAGTCTACTAGTTTGTGTTACTATCGAAGCTATATGTCACAACTGCATATTGCATGTCGTGCCCTAAATAACACATAAAAAACATCAAATTAAATAGCTAAAACAGTTTGCAAAATGAGTCCTAAAACAGTTTGAAAATCTAAAAAAGAAAAAACAGGTTTTATTAAAATGTTTTTTATGTATGTGCTCAGAACCGGGCCTAATTGCATGTTATTCAAAAGAAAAAGAAAGAATATATGTATAGTAAGTCTACTAATTTGTGTTAATATCGAAACTATGTCACAACCCGTATTTAAATCCACATATTGCATGTAGTACCCTAAATAACACATAAAAAACATCAAATTGCTATAAAAAATTGAATTAAAAAAAACAAGAAAGATAGGCCTAAGAAATCTAAAAAAAAAAATCAGAGATTTTATTCGAATGTTTCTTATGAATGTGCTCAGGAGCAGGCCTAATTGCATGTTACTCAAAAGAATAAGAAAAAACATATGGATAGTAAAAGAGTGGAGATATATACTTACTCTTTTCCTCGAAATGACCAAGGATCCCAGCCTTGAGGAACAATAACATCTGCCATGTAAGTATTGAAAAAGATAACTCTCGAGTAGTTTCGGTAAGCTCTTCCAAGGAATGCTTTACCAACTCCAATAATAGAGCATTCATTGAACACGAACCCATTTGGCTCCTGCTCTGTTTCCCTCCCTTGTGCGGTTATGAATCCACCTATTAGTCTTCCTCTGTTCACTTGTTCTTCTTTTGCTGTTTTTATCACTCCCAAAATGTCTATCACGCAACTCTGCAAACACACACTCACGTTATTTAGTGTTTACATTTAGTGTTTACATTTAGTACATTTACCCTTTGTTTAGATGTGCAAGTGGTAAATTCATAGATAGTTTCAATTTTCACCCTACTTTTTCAACAAATGTCAATATGTATATAAATTGATGCGGTTTATATATTCTTTTAGAGTATTAAGTTTTAAAGAGTATTTTTACACTCAATGACAATAGTTGATTAAGAAAATAGCAATTAATGGAGGCAAGCAAAATTTTCATTGGTCATATATTGGACGAGTTTGATTTACGTGATTTTTAAATGGAGGTTAGAATTGAAGATTTTGAATATAAGTTAGACGTCTACATAAAAAAAAATGTTTTAAATGAAGATTTAGAATTAAATTAATTTACAATTTTGTTTTACTAGAACACCTATTATTATTATATAAGACAGACGTCCACATAAAAAAAGAAAGTTCCTCGTCTCTAGTTAAATAAAAGGTACAATCAAAATATTGAAATTTATTTATTTTGCCAGTAACCTAGTTTGTCTTTATCTAATTGTTTATCACCTAATTTCTCACCAATTGTTTTCCAGTTGTCTAATTTATTTTTATTTTTTAATACTGAATAATTTGAGATAGCTTATAAGTTACTTTCTTCTCTTTACTTAACACTTAAACAGACATTTTTTCATTAACTGCACATACTGGTTTATGTGGATCTAATTATGTATTTTGCACATCTTGAAAAAGCTCAACTACACACGCATGTTTATATATAAAGATGCAAAGATGACGAATATCCAAATTGTGCTAATGACCAATCATGAATTCACGTAGGTTTATTGATATATAAGAATTTGAGTGTATAGTGAGATTACTTACTTGGTAAATAGATTGTCCTTTTCCCCAAATGAAATCAATGGCTCCTTTGATGTGACATTTTTCAAAGTAGTGGCGGCCGAGTACGTCACCGATCGTGTCTTGGACACTGTAAAATCCGCAACCGAAGAATGCTGCCTTGTCAGCTACTAATGCAACCGCCGGAGCTATTTTTATCTCACCGAACGGTGTCATAGGCTTCTCCTGATTACAAGTATTCTGCATCAAATTGTTTAGCATTTTAGTCACAAAAGTATTCAAAACCGAAAATCCACGTAACCTCATCACAAAAGAACGAATATAAACATTATTAAGATCTGTTTATATGAACACTAAAAAACACTTATTAGTGACATTAAGATTATATAGAAGTAAAAAGAATGTACTTAAAAGATGCACATTAGCTAACCTTAAATGTTATATTAATAGCGACGAAGTATTCAGCTAACACTCTGAAAGTAGCACCCGTTACGGCTTCTCCCCCTTCGTTAAACTGAATTATCGTTTCTGATGCTTTATTTCCCTCCATTTGTATCTTTGGCTTATCCCTCGGAATTACTACCTTTTCACTGCAACAACAAAACACAAAAATTAACTATATATGTAGAATATATAGTGAGAGAATGAAGTTTTTAAACTTGATAAGAGTATAGACTTACTTGTAAATTCCTTCCCTTACATAAATTTTGATCCAATGGTCGTTACCGGAGGGAACTGAGTCGATAGCCGATTGTATGGTTTTGAAGTTACCTTTACCAGATTGATCTACGACAATAGTTTTGTTGATATCTTGAAGTCTATTATTATTATCTTGGAACGCATGAGAAACGATGTGTGGCGACGTAACCGTCACATAGAAAAATGAGAGAGCATAAAGACGTACTAGAAAATTCATTGCTAGAACAAAAGTTTTCAGTGATCACATGTTAATGTGTAGATGGTTGATTTTAACAATCTATTATATTGAAATGAATTGTCCTCTCATTGGTCTGACAATAATGGCTTTAATTTATTGTAAACAAATACACTTTAAGTGCCTCCGCGTTTTACTTCCTTCAACCATATTCTTTAATTTGCATCTTTCGTTCAAAATAGTTTTCTATTAATACAATGATTTTAACCAAAGTAGACGTTCGTACTGCTCCTAGTAGCTCTTAGTAGATGGCCGGACACCTCCCAACCACTTTTCTTGATTCCTTACCGGATAATCTTTTACCGGAACATACCTACGAGATAATAGTCAAAAATAATAATTTTAGGGAGAAATTGACTTATGTGTATTACTAGTTCTTTAAGTTTTGGATGCAATCTAGTTTAAGAAATTAATGTCAGAAGATTTTATCTTTTAGTCATTGTATTTACTATTTAGTGTCAAATATTTCTTTATATTTGTCAACATTTAAATTCAATTATTTCTGAAAATGATTTCCCTTATAACTAGTTATTAAAAACATTCAGATTTAGCTATCAATATTTATTTATGTCAATCTCACTTTTAACCACAAGTATTGAAAAAAAATTACCTCAAGATCCAACAAATTTAAGTTTCAAGATTTATACAAATCTAAAGATCTTAATAATGCAATTATCTATACTTGAGTCCCTTTCCGGGTCCAACAACTTCGCATTAAAAAAGTTTATGTTTATTCCTCAAATCAATAATTTTCTGGTCTTTCCAATTCTTTTCAGTGAGATTTTAATATTTTAGTTCTTGTTATCTATGAAGAAAACATCATTACCAACTTCAATTTTGTATTAAAAAATTGTGACAACAAATTTTTTGAACACATACCAAGAAAAATAGATAAAAGAATAGTGTAATTAACTCCACTAGGTCTGCTCTGAATGCACAACCTCTTTCCTCTAGGTTTTAGATTTTGGCTGCATTCTTCATACTAAACCAATCAAAACAATTCAGCTCGATCATATGCATTTTTTTCTAACAATGCATCCATTATTCAGTCATTATCTTGTAACCATTTACAGCCACTACTACTTTTGGAATTGGCTTTGATTGTCTAGAACCAACAAGCATTATAACAAATTAACAATTGACAATTTCCAGTGCGGTGGTATATAATTTCACAACGAAAAAATCCGTAAACTAAAGATATAAAAATTGAATAATATAAATCTCAAATAGCCATCAGTCAACAGATTTTAAAAAATAAAATCAACCACATAGTCCACAAGATAGTGAAATACTTTTTCCCATTGTTTATAGTTAAGAACAAAACATAAAGGAAAAAGAAAAACGAGGTTCAAAATGACATAGAACACAATCAGATAAACAGAACGGAAAAGGACATCAATATAGTCCGCAAACTAGCCTAAGTGGTGTCAATGAAAGGTATTTTGCTATTTTGGCAATTTTATCTGTTTTTTAGTATGAGATTTCAAGTTCCATTTTATTGCTAGGTTCACGAATACATTGTTTTGATTGTTCATTGGAATTGTATTTTAGTCACAATTTGTATTATTTATTCATTTTATTGAGTTCACGAATAATTTGTATTATTTGTTCATTGGAATTGTATTTTATGTGCTTTGGCATGGCAACAAACATATAAATACATGAAAAAAAGAAGAAGTAGATAAACGAAACACACATGATACATTATCACATATTCTCCTACAATCCTATAGCATCAAGAAGTTCTGAATGCATAGAAACAGTGACAAGCGAATTCGCGACAATCGCACCACTAGCAGCCACCGCAGGAACCCCGATCCCGGGAAAGGTCGAGTCGCCACAACACAAAAGCTGCGGAATGGGAGTAGAATGACCAGGAAAGGTACCTTTCCCAGCCTCTATGGCAGGCCCATATGTTCCTCTATTCCTCCTAAGAAACCTCTGATGCGTCAATGGCGTTCCCACCAAACTCACTTCACACTTTTCCCTCTTGAACCCAGGCCCTAACGCCCGCTCCACCGCTCTCCACATCACCTGATCACCAACGGTCCAGCACATTTTAGTCTTTTGTTACGTTTTTTTTTACTACACTAAATTTGGTTTCTGTTAGGTTTATTTGGTATAACTATATTTTGTTACCGTTTACTTAAATATAACATTTGGTTTGGTTTTGGTTTATCATCTGATCACCAACGGTCCAGTACATTTTGGTCTTTTGTTACGTTTTTTTACTACACTAAATTTGGGTTCGGTTAGGTTTGTTTGGTATAACTATATATTGTTACCGTTTACTTAATATAACATTCGGTTTGGTTTTGGTTTATCGAATCTCAGTTTGAATTGGTTTCTACGTCCACCCTCGCTGAGATTAGCCCTGAGCATTCAGGTTTTCGGGTTAATTTGGGCCGGCTTTTTGGGTTTTATATAATTCGGGTAAGAAAGTTTAGGACCTATATACGAACCAAAAAATTTCAGCTTGGTTCTGTTCGGATACATCCCAACTCCATGTCGGTACCGGGTATGCAAGCTAATTTTGTTGGTTTAAGTTTTTTTGATAAAATTTGGTTTAGTTTACAAAAATTTGTTCAACTTTGACAAATACAACTAAGGAAATTTGAATTTTCGGTAATTTCGGTTTAAACAATACTAATATCTTCACGTTCATAATTATAATTTTGGCTATTTTGATTATTTAAATGTAAATATAACTAATAATTTTTATATGTAATTATATTTTAGGTATTTAAAAAGACCTATTGTGTTTTCGTTTTGGTTCGGGTTCCCAAAATTTTTTGAACAATAAAACAATTTGGAGATCTATAACTATTCGGTTTGGTTTGGTTTCTCCCCATTTGGTTCGATTCGGTACAATTCTTTCGGTTCCGGATAATTTGTCCAATCCTAGTTGAGATCAGATCAGGAAACTCATATTTTTAAAAAGAGAAAAATGAATTTGTACCTCGGACCGTTGAGATTTCAGATTCTTGTACTCGGCACTTCTCCTGTCAAGACCTTCCCACAGACCAAAAGGTTCGGTTCCAGGCAAGTAAGCATGCAGAACATGTTTCCCCGGTGGTGCGAGGTTCGGACTAAGAACGCTAGGAACTGATATCAGAACCACATTCTGGTCAGCATCCACACCACGGTCCCAGTCATTCACAACAATATGATGAATTTCAAGATCATCTGCTACTCCCTGTTCCTGTTCAATCAAGGAAACAAAATCAAAATCAAGAAAGCAACAACCGCACGAAAGATTTTGCTACTTCTTTTCCTCTTATACCTTTGCGTCGAATCCCAAATGAAGATGCATAAATGATTCACATTGAGGCGTCTTGTTCACACCAGTAACATATGAATCTGGGAGAGCTCCTGGAGGTAAGAGCTTTAACGTATCCCACATCGATGCGTTGCTAACAACAGCTTTTCTTGCTCGAACAAACTATTATCAAATACATAACGAAAGATGTGAGTAATTACAAAAGTGAAGATGGAAACTATTTATGTAAGTAAATTCAAGAACTCTACGTACTTGACCATTCTTTAGCTTGACTCCCACGGCTCTACCATTCTCAATGACAATGTTCTCTACATGGCTCTTAAGAGACAAACGTCCACCAAACTTCTCCAAGCCACGGACAAGCGCTTCAACCACTGCACCGGTACCATCAATAGGATACTCCAGTGTGCAGCCTTGCTTGTACCATTCCGCAAACATGTATATCTGCACAAGTAAGAAGGAAACACTTCATTTTCACCCGATCTTGCGCACCAAGATATGCCAATCTTGTTTCTTCTGTCCATTCTTGATCCATGCAAGATACGTTTTGGACATAAAGATTGAAATTATACCATCTCTGCTGAGAGTATGCCATCAGATTTGACCCCAGCAAGAAGGAATGAGAGAAGATCAATCCAGTTTCGTATAAACGGATCTTTCAACTGCAAAGAATCAACGATTTCAGAGAAGGGACGGAGAAGCTTTGTGGCTCCCAGAGCTCCTTGAGGACCCATTTTGATGAAAGACTTCAAGAGAGAAGGAGCATATCTAACAAGAAACAAACATTCATATCAAGAAAAGCACATTGCAAAAGATGAGTTTAAGTAACTATATTCAAATATACTACCTTGCAGCAGCTGTGGAGAGAACACCAAGATCCCCGCGAATAGACAATGGTGGCAATGCCATAGCAGCAGAAGACAGAGGGAGTATTGCTCCCTGCAGTTTCATATTTCATGTGATTGTTAGCAGATGAAATCTCTCTAGTAAATGTCATTCATATTGACTCATAGGCACCCACAAGTAGCTTTTCCCACTCTTGGACTGCGTTAGGGCCGGCATATTTCTCTAGATCCTGAAGAAAGAGCAAGATTAGAGATATAGAAGCTCATGGATGTCAAGCAAAGATTGGGTGATGGAGAAGACAAATCATAGTTAACTTTCAATGAAGTATCTAAATGACAACATAGGAAGTTCATTTCATCAGATTATATGCAAAGATAGCTCAAGCAAACCACACAATCAAAATTTCCTGTCCTTTTCATTATCAGTTCTAACATAGCAACATAAGCTAATAATCATTTACCTTAAAGAAATCGGTAGGACCTATGCGTGACAAGAAGTCTCCTTCTGGTAAGTACACCATCCAAGAATCATATTTAGCACATGGAAGAGATTCCCCTAAAGCATCAAGGACCTGAGCATCAACCAAATGCATAAGAACAAACTTCCAAAGACAAAAAATCCAAAGGATTTCATCCGAATCAAGAAACCATGAAAGCGTACGACGTTCTACATACCCGTGATTAAGTACGGATGGGAAAAGACAGAACAAAAAGGAAACAAAAAGAGTTTGAAGAAGAGAAACATTATACTTGAGCAAGTGGGTTTGCTTGAGGTCCTCGCGACTGTAACCCGGAAAACAGAGAAGGGCCTGAGTCAAACTTGTACCCTTTGATCTCAAAGGAGTGAGCAGCACCACCGGGAAGGTCATGGCTTTCAAGGACGAGCACATCTTGACTGTATCTAGCTAACAATGCACCACAACATAATCCA